GTATTTCTAAAGTGTGGCTGCCCAATTATGTAATCACATAAAGTGAACTGAAATTTAATAGACTGTTCATTTTAAAGAAATATATGTTGGCCAAACTTTAATTTACTCAATATAGACAGCTATTTAAAATATCACACTAACAATAATAGAATCATCTAAATTCTGTTTTGAATTAGGTTGTGGAATGGTGTTTCACAGCAAATTCATTCTATTCATTTGATTAGTGCTTACTGAACATCTAGTTATCTAGCAGGTACAGTTTAGGGAGGTTTGAGATTACAAAAATGTAGACACAAGTATCACTGTTTATGATCCAAAAGGAAAAAATATACACATAACCTAATAGCAATAAAACCAGGTAAAAGGCAATATATTTATTTATCTACAATTTATTAAAAACCTGCTACATTCCAGGTACAACTACAAACACTGTGTCCAAATCTTTGAAAAATATATAAAATCTGTGCTGTAATGGAGATGAGATTCTTCTGTAAAATGCTGGAAGAGAAATAACATGCATAAAAAAAATAGGTATTAGGTTGGAAGGTAATAAGTGCTATCAGGTAAAAAGTAGAAAAGAAAGTAAAGGGGAAGGCAGGTGGAAGTTTCAATGAGTGTTAAGAGCAGCCTCTTACCTTCAAACCATATTTTTAAGGAAGCAAGAGAAACTGTATCTGACAGAGGAAACCAGCAAGCACAAAAGCCCTGTGGCTAACAGTGTGCCTGGTGTGATAGAAAAGTAATGAGGAAGACAGGCAGTGTGACTGCAGCATAGTAAGTTAGGGAAATGTCAGAGGATATAAGATCAAAGAACTAACGAGGGACTGGGCCATGCAGGATCTTGAGGCCGTTGCAAAGAATGTAGCGTTTACACAGAGATTAGAGACTACTGGCATGGTTTGAAGAGTGAGATGATCTGATATATATATAATATGTATTATATATCATATACCTGTGTATCTCAGATATGTAACAGAGCTCTTCTGAACAGAATATATATGAGATAAGATTTGTAGAGTTCTTGCACCTCTTTTAAGGGCACTAATACCAATCACCTTCCAAATATCTCATTCCTAATGCCATCTCATTGGGGATTAGATTTCAAAATATGGATTTTTAAGGGAACACAAATATTTAGACCATAGCATGAGATTATTGGACCTCTTTTAAGGGCTCTCTCTCTCTCTCTCTCTCTCTCTCTCTTGACCTGCCGGCGTCCTGCCTCTTTCTTCTTCAAGAAAGTTAATTTCAATAGCAATTGAATCTCCAATTTCAATATATATAAATATGTAATTTATAAAAAATATATAAAAATATAAACTCTGGCTAGTCCTGCACTCTGCTTCCAGCAGGGTCTGGCCCTGTAACCCAGGGGACAAGGCCAGCCAAAAGACATGGCCACTGGGTGCCAGCCAGCGCCTGGGCCAGGCACCAGGTGGGAAGGGCTCTGGCAAATCAGCCCCACATGGCCCACAGCCCCACAGCGGGGCCCATCCAGGGCCACACACCTGCCCCCTGGGTCCAGCTGGACGGATGGAGAGCCCCGCCCTTTGCCCTTTGACTCCACTTGTAGGTGCCCTTGCTGGGCTCCTGTGCACTGCCCCACACCCTGCTCTGTCACCAGCCCCATTGTGATGTCATAAGAGCCCAGCTGCCCACCCACAGACTAGTGGGTGACTCAGGAGTACCCTCTCCATTTCTTACTCTGACTTTTGTCCGAGCGCATCTTGTATGCTATGGGAAATTCCCTAAGCAAATTGTTTTCCTTTATCTGCCACAGGGTCTGGCAGCGGTGGCAACCACGACGGTCTCCTCTTGTCCATGCGGACTTTTCGGCTGGCCGGCTTCACCCCGCAGCTCCTGTGCATGTGCCTGCCCCGCGAGCCCTACAAGGTTCCCGATTCCTCTTGTTCCCTCCGCGAGGTCTTGGGCCTTATTTTCCATCGAGCTCCAATTTCACCAGGAACTCGAGCGCCCTACTGCGGGACCTGCCTCCTCTTGCCTGGAGCCCGCCCTCAAGGAAGAAACCCTGTGCTACGCCACTTCGCACGCGAGGGACCCGTGAAGATCCCTCCTCCAAGCCTAACGTTTCCACTCCGACTGCCTCCCCTGCAAGTGCCGGCCCCGATCCTGAAGACCGCGGTGAGAGCAGAAGATGGTGAAGAACCCATGGAGGTGGACAATCCGGTAGGGATCCTGAAGACGGCGGTGAGAGCAGAAGAGGGTGAAGAACCGATGGAGGTGGACGATCAGGTAGAGACCCAGGGGCAGGAGGAGAAAGGGGGCCCCTGTAGCAATGCGGGAGTAGCACCCACCTCGAGGCCCCTGGAGACTCAGGGAAACCTCGCTTCCCTCAACTGCAGTCCCAGGACCTTAAGGAGGTATAAGGGAAACCTGACAGAAATGAATCACAATGTCAATGATTACAGTGTGTTAATATGTTTAACTTATGTTATTTGCTTCCATCCCAAGGGCCTTGGAGTGCCCAGCGCACCCACCCCTGCAGGAGGCGTCCTTCCCTTTGGGAAGCCTGACCCAGCTCCAGCAGCGCTCCCTGGCCCAGTTCCCGGCTGTTCCCATTGGCCAGACAAGGCGGCCTCTCTGGTACTGGGGAAAGACCACCAGCCCAGCTCCTCAGCCGAGCCGATGGAGTGGGAGGCGACCCAGCACAAGGATCCTCCAGCTGTTGCCACAAAGGGTCCTTCTAAACCAAGGGCTGCCAGCCGCAGTTCGCGACAACCAAAATGGTTAGTGCAACCCCAGCAGCTGCGACTGGTCCCTCCGCAGCAATGGAGGTGGGGGAGAAACGAGGGGCCCCCACCCGTTAAACGTCCCAGCCGATCCGTGAAAGGATTCATGGACACCGGCAAGTCAAGTCGAACAACATCATCCAGGAGACTGAAAAAGAAATATGGGAAGAAATTACAGTAAACTGCAATGCCAGCCCGCCTGCCCCAATGTCTCCCCACCTGCTCTCCCTGCCCCAGGCCACCTACCTGTCACAGATCCCAACTCCTTCTACCTCTGACTTTACCCATGTGGCTGCTGGGCCCCTCATCCTGCCCGCCCCTTAGCTTTTGACCACACCAAGAATTGAGTAAAAATTGATATCTATGGCCGGGCACGGTGGCTCAAGCCTGTAATCCCAGTACTTTGGGAGGCCGAGGCGGGTGGATCACGAGGTCAAGAGATCGAGACCATCCTGGTCAACATGGTGAAACCCCGTCTTTACTAAAAATACAAAAAATTAGCTGGGCATGGTGGCGCGTGCCTGTAATCCCAGCTACTCGGGAGGCTGAGGCGGGAGAATTGCCTGAATCCGGGAGGCAGAGGTTGCGGTGAGCCGAGATGGTGCCATTGCACTGCAGCCTGGGTAACAAGAGCGGAACTCCATCTCAGAAAAAAAAAAAAAAAAGTCAGTCCTGGCCAATCCCAGTGGCTATACTTAAACAATTCATAAACCAATGAGTGTTCATACTGTGTTCAAATAAGGCAAACGCCGAGCTGTAACCAATCCAGCCATTCTGTATCTCGTTTCCAATTTCTGTACGGTAATTTCCTTTTTTGTGTGTAAATTTTCCACCATATGGCTGTGGCTGGGCTGGATTCTCTGTGAATCTGCTGTGATTTTGGGGCTGCAAGATTCGTGAATCATTCATTGCTCAATTAAACTCCTTTTAATTTAATTTGGCTGAAGTTTTTCTTTTATCAAGTCCTATCCTACTGGACAAAAGTAAGTAGCTGAATGACCGAATCTCTTCTTCCACAAACTATTCATATCATCCCTCGGAATTTCTGAACACTATCGTTAAATTCATTTATGATTTAGCTATTTTAATTTACATTCAATTTTTAATCTCATAAAACCATAGTGATTTTCAAGGGAGAGCCCAATGGAATTTTATTACGCGATTTCTTGTCATTATTACACAAACCCAAGCATGAGTCCTAAATCTAGCTCTATGTTAGGGTGCCCTAGAGGGACAGGACTAATAAGATAGATGTATGGCTGGGTGTGTTGGCTCATGCCTGTAGTCTCAGCACTTTGGGAGGCCAAGGTGGGTGGGTCATGACATCAGGAATTTGAGACCAGCCTGGCCAATATGGTGAAACCCCATCTCTACTACAAATACAAAAATTAGCTAGGTGTTATGGCACATACGTGTAATCCCAGTTACTCAGGAGGCTGAGGCAAGAGAATCACTTGAACCCGGGAGGTGGAGGTTGCAGTGAGCTGAGATCTTGCCATTACACCCCAGCCTGTGCAAAAGAATAAGACTAAGTCTCAAAAAATAAAGATATATATATATATATATATATGAAAGGGAGTTTATTAAGAATTCTGACTCACAGGATCACAAGGTGAAATCCCACAATAGGTCATCTGCAAGCTGACAAGAAGAAAGCCAGTCTGTGTCCCAAAACCTCAAAAGTAGGGAAACTGACAGTGCAGCCTTCAGTCTGTGGCTGAAGGCCCCAGAGCCCCTGGCAAACCACTGGTGTAAGCCCAAGAGGCCAAAAGCTAAAGAACTTGGTTTTCAACGTTTGAGGACAGGAAATGGATTTTTAAGGGAACACAAATATTTAGACCATAGCATGAGATTATTGGACCTCTTTTAAGGGCTCTCTCTCTCTCTCTCTCTCTCTCTCTTGACCTGCCGGCGTCCTGCCTCTTTCTTCTTCAAGAAAGTTAATTTCAATAGCAATTGAATCTCCAATTTCAATATATATAAATATGTAATTTATAAAAATATATAAAAATATAAACTCTGGCTAGTCCTGCACTCTGCTTCCAGCAGGGTCTGGCCCTGTAACCCAGGGGACAAGGCCAGCCAAAAGACATGGCCACTGGGTGCCAGCCAGCGCCTGGGCCAGGCACCAGGTGGGAAGGGCTCTGGCAAATCAGCCCCACATGGCCCACAGCCCCACAGCGGGGCCCATCCAGGGCCACACACCTGCCCCCTGGGTCCAGCTGGACGGATGGAGAGCCCCGCCCTTTGCCCTTTGACTCCACTTGTAGGTGCCCTTGCTGGGCTCCTGTGCACTGCCCCACACCCTGCTCTGTCACCAGCCCCATTGTGATGTCATAAGAGCCCAGCTGCCCACCCACAGACTAGTGGGTGACTCAGGAGTACCCTCTCCATTTCTTACTCTGACTTTTGTCCGAGCGCATCTTGTATGCTATGGGAAATTCCCTAAGCAAATTGTTTTCCTTTATCTGCCACAGGGTCTGGCAGCGGTGGCAACCACGACGGTCTCCTCTTGTCCATGCGGACTTTTCGGCTGGCCGGCTTCACCCCGCAGCTCCTGTGCATGTGCCTGCCCCGCGAGCCCTACAAGGTTCCCGATTCCTCTTGTTCCCTCCGCGAGGTCTTGGGCCTTATTTTCCATCGAGCTCCAATTTCACCAGGAACTCGAGCGCCCTACTGCGGGACCTGCCTCCTCTTGCCTGGAGCCCGCCCTCAAGGAAGAAACCCGTGCTACGCCACTTCGCACGCGAGGGACCCGTGAAGATCCCTCCTCCAAGCCTAACGTTTCCACTCCGACTGCCTCCCCTGCAAGTGCCGGCCCCGATCCTGAAGACCGCGGTGAGAGCAGAAGATGGTGAAGAACCCATGGAGGTGGACAATCCGGTAGGGATCCTGAAGACGGCGGTGAGAGCAGAAGAGGGTGAAGAACCGATGGAGGTGGACGATCAGGTAGAGACCCAGGGGCAGGAGGAGAAAGGGGGCCCCTGTAGCAATGCGGGAGTAGCACCCACCTCGAGGCCCCTGGAGACTCAGGGAAACCTCGCTTCCCTCAACTGCAGTCCCAGGACCTTAAGGAGGTATAAGGGAAACCTGACAGAAATGAATCACAATGTCAATGATTACAGTGTGTTAATATGTTTAACTTATGTTATTTGCTTCCATCCCAAGGGCCTTGGAGTGCCCAGCGCACCCACCCCTGCAGGAGGCGTCCTTCCCTTTGGGAAGCCTGACCCAGCTCCAGCAGCGCTCCCTGGCCCAGTTCCCGGCTGTTCCCATTGGCCAGACAAGGCGGCCTCTCTGGTACTGGGGAAAGACCACCAGCCCAGCTCCTCAGCCGAGCCGATGGAGTGGGAGGCGACCCAGCACAAGGATCCTCCAGCTGTTGCCACAAAGGGTCCTTCTAAACCAAGGGCTGCCAGCCGCAGTTCGCGACAACCAAAATGGTTAGTGCAACCCCAGCAGCTGCGACTGGTCCCTCCGCAGCAATGGAGGTGGGGGAGAAACGAGGGGCCCCCACCCGTTAAACGTCCCAGCCGATCCGTGAAAGGATTCATGGACACCGGCAAGTCAAGTCGAACAACATCATCCAGGAGACTGAAAAAGAAATATGGGAAGAAATTACAGTAAACTGCAATGCCAGCCCGCCTGCCCCAATGTCTCCCCACCTGCTCTCCCTGCCCCAGGCCACCTACCTGTCACAGATCCCAACTCCTTCTACCTCTGACTTTACCCATGTGGCTGCTGGGCCCCTCATCCTGCCCGCCCCTTAGCTTTTGACCACACCAAGAATTGAGTAAAAATTGATATCTATGGCCGGGCACGGTGGCTCAAGCCTGTAATCCCAGTACTTTGGGAGGCCGAGGCGGGTGGATCACGAGGTCAAGAGATCGAGACCATCCTGGTCAACATGGTGAAACCCCGTCTTTACTAAAAATACAAAAAATTAGCTGGGCATGGTGGCGCGTGCCTGTAATCCCAGCTACTCGGGAGGCTGAGGCGGGAGAATTGCCTGAATCCGGGAGGCAGAGGTTGCGGTGAGCCGAGATGGTGCCATTGCACTGCAGCCTGGGTAACAAGAGCGGAACTCCATCTCAGAAAAAAAAAAAAAAAAAAGTCAGTCCTGGCCAATCCCAGTGGCTATACTTAAACAATTCATAAACCAATGAGTGTTCATACTGTGTTCAAATAAGGCAAACGCCGAGCTGTAACCAATCCAGCCATTCTGTATCTCGTTTCCAATTTCTGTACGGTAATTTCCTTTTTTGTGTGTAAATTTTCCACCATATGGCTGTGGCTGGGCTGGATTCTCTGTGAATCTGCTGTGATTTTGGGGCTGCAAGATTCGTGAATCATTCATTGCTCAATTAAACTCCTTTTAATTTAATTTGGCTGAAGTTTTTCTTTTATCAAGTCCTATCCTACTGGACAAAAGTAAGTAGCTGAATGACCGAATCTCTTCTTCCACAAACTATTCATATCATCCCTCGGAATTTCTGAACACTATCGTTAAATTCATTTATGATTTAGCTATTTTTAATTTACATTCAATTTTTAATCTCATAAAACCATAGTGATTTTCAAGGGAGAGCCCAATGGAATTTTATTACGCGATTTCTTGTCATTATTACACAAACCCAAGCATGAGTCCTAAATCTAGCTCTATGTTAGGGTGCCCTAGAGGGACAGGACTAATAAGATAGATGTATGGCTGGGTGTGTTGGCTCATGCCTGTAGTCTCAGCACTTTGGGAGGCCAAGGTGGGTGGGTCATGACATCAGGAATTTGAGACCAGCCTGGCCAATATGGTGAAACCCCATCTCTACTACAAATACAAAAATTAGCTAGGTGTTATGGCACATACGTGTAATCCCAGTTACTCAGGAGGCTGAGGCAAGAGAATCACTTGAACCCGGGAGGTGGAGGTTGCAGTGAGCTGAGATCTTGCCATTACACCCCAGCCTGTGCAAAAGAATAAGACTAAGTCTCAAAAAATAAAGATATATATATATATATATATATATGAAAGGGAGTTTATTAAGAAATTCTGACTCACAGGATCACAAGGTGAAATCCCACAATAGGTCATCTGCAAGCTGACAAGAAGAAAGCCAGTCTGTGTCCCAAAACCTCAAAAGTAGGGAAACTGACAGTGCAGCCTTCAGTCTGTGGCTGAAGGCCCCAGAGCCCCTGGCAAACCACTGGTGTAAGCCCAAGAGGCCAAAAGCTAAAGAACTTGGTTTTCAACGTTTGAGGACAGGAAGCATCCAGCACAGGAGAAAGATGGAGGCCAGAAGACTCAGACAGTCTAGTCCTTGCACGTTCCTCTGCCTGCTTTTATCCCAGCCACACTGGCAGCTGATTAGATGGTGATCACCCAGTTTGAAGGTGGATCTGCCTCTCCCAGTCCACTGACCCAAATGTTAATCCCCTTTGGCAACATCATCACAGACACATCCAAAAGCAATAATTTGCATCCTTCAATCCAATCAAATTGACACTCAATATTAACCATCACAAGTCCACCCCTTGTTGACTTGAACCCATATACATCTCCTGAAATCACATATTATCATCAAATAAAGACAAGAATAAGGTCATAATTATGTTTAACATAATAAACCTATCCTTTGTACAACCAGAAACACATCAATCTCCAATGCAGATGCTGTTTCATAAAGTTAACAACACTTAAATTCTGACATGAAGTCAATAAATCTTATGTCACATGACAAAAAAAAGAAAGGAAATAAAATAAATATATGTTAGCACAAGAGTATACCTGCACACTCATGTTCTTAAAAAAATAAGAAGGAAATACTCATGACAATTATAGTCCTCTTTTCTGCTACTGGTCATGTTGTTGTAGCTGGTATTGGTGCCTACCTTCTTCTACTACCCATTCTATATTCCTTTTGCCTTCTGCAAGCACCTCAGCAGTCACGGTTTTTTACCTGGTAGAGTGACCCTCAACCTTCATTTCTGAAGGATCTGGGCCATTTGCAGCCCTGCCCAGATTGGGCTGTTGTAGTTTCCCATTAACCTTAATCACAGGGCATAGTAATACTAAGAGATTTCCTAAGGGCTCTTCTGTATTCCACCCATACTCTTCTTTACCTCCACTGGGGAGTAGTCGATTTGCACAGCAGCCTGGATCTGTTGCAGAGCCTTCTGTTCTGGACCCCACTGAAAGCTGGCAGCCTTTCGGGACACTTGATACATGGGCCAGAGTAACACACCAAAATGAGAAATGTGTTGCCCCCACAATCCAAATAGGCCCAGTAGGCAGTGTGCCTCTTAGTTGTAAGAGGGGCCAAAGGAAGCAACTTATCCTTCACCTTAGAAGGCATATCTCGACAGGTCCCAAAACACTGGACCCCAAGAAATTTTACTGAGGTAGAAGGTCCCTGAATTGTAGTCAGATTCATTTCCCATCACCTGGCACTCAAATGTCTCACCCAAAAGTAGTGTGTTTGCTACTTATCACTCACTTGATTCAATCAGTATGATGTCATTAATGCAATGGACCAGTGTGATATCCTGTAGAAGGAAAAGGCAATTAAGATCTCTGCAAACAAGATTACGGCATGTAGCTGGAGACTTGTTGTACCACTGAAGTAGGACAATGAAGGTTTATTGCTGGTTTTGCCAGCTGAAGGCGAACTACTTCTGGTGGGCCTTGTGGACAGGTATGGAGAAAAAGGCATTTGCCAATTTAATGGCTACATACCAGGTACCAGAAGATGTGTTAATTTGCTCAATCAGTGAAACCACATCTAGTACAGCAGCTGCAATTGGGGTCATACTTGGTTTAGCTTATGATAATCCACTGTCATTCTCCAAGATCCATCTGTCTTCTGCACAGGCCAAACAGGAGATTGGAACAGGGATATTGTGGGAATAACATCAACTGTATCTTTCAAGTCTTTGATGGTGGCACTAATCTCTGCACTCCCTCCAGGGGTGTGATATTGTTTTTGACTTACTCTTCTTCCAGGTAGAGACTGCTGTTGATTTTCCATTTAATTAAAATGTCCTCTAGGTCAGTAGAATGGAATATTGAAACCAATGAATGAAATAAATAATTACACACATCTATTATATTTATACAGTAAAATAAATATCATTTGCATTGTTCTTTAGTCAGTGAACAACAGCCATCCCTTTTCTTAGGTATCATATGAAAATTGCAAGGTTGACCGCTAACTCATTGAAGGAAAAATCAGAGATGAAGGTGAGGGATAATACTATACTTTTATGTGTATTTACATGAAATGTTAAATATTAACTACTCTTCTACTTTTCCTTTAAGACTAACTCTAGCTCAGTCTGCAGAAGATATCAGTTATGATGCATTTTTTGTTATAATAATAAGTATAATATTAAAAGTGGAGTTTACATTTAAATTCAATTTATAGGCTGAATTATTATAAACAAAAGGTAATTGTTTGAAAATTGAAACATTAAATCTATAATACAATATATTTATATAATTAAGTATGAATAATAATTATGGAGTGAAGAGTGGCATATATCTTTTAAAATAGAATTTTAATAATAATAGCATTGCTGGAAGTGTAGTTTCTTTAAAAAAATGTCGGCTTGTTCTAAGCAAGATTTGTCATTTTTTATAAATAGAATATAGAAGCTCAAGTGTAATACTTCTTAAACTTTGAAATGAAGATTAAGATACATTTGAAAAAAGAAAAAGAAACTGTGACTGCTTTGAACTTATTTAAATAAAAATATCCTGGATGATTTATATTCCAGGAAACTGAAAGCTAGACAAACAAACAATAAAGATATATTTGTCTACCTGATCTAAAATTAGCTAACATCTTTTAAAATATAACAGAAGCTGTTGTCAATAATACTTAATTGCCTCATTCTTTTCCTTATTGACTTGATTCCCTGACTTTATGTTACTCACTAGAAAGTTTAGTGCCATTTTATTTTCTTTTCCAACAATTTCATCTGAAAGAGGAAGCAGATTGGACAAATGTATGCACATTTTGGTTTTTGAGACAGGGTCTCACTCAGTTGCCCAGGCTGAAGTGCAACCTCCACCTCCCAGGTTCAAGAGATTCTCCTGCCTCAGTCTTCTGAGTAGCTGGGATTATAGGTACACGCCACCACACCAGGCTAATTTTTGCATTTTTAGTAGAGATGGAGTTTCACCATATTGGTCAGGCTGGTCTTGAACTCCTTACCTCGTGATCTGCCTGCTTTGGCCTCCCAAAGTGCTGGCATTACAGGTGTGAGCCACTGCACCCAGTCACCCATCCTATTTAATTGGCCTTCTCATCCTCCTAGATCGGATGTTGTTAATTCCACAGAGCCCATTTGAGATAATGTGATCTTGACACTGACATTAGCACTTCGCATGCCATTAGTCACAGTGATTGTTCAGGAGGACATGGTATCCAACACAATGCAATGAGACTCAATTGTGAGACTTTAGAGAACAATTGGAAAAAGAAAAGTTGTCCTTTCTGCTAAGGGATGCTGTAAAGATAAGGTATATTTCTGGATGATTTTGCAAGGATCTTATCACTAGAAATTGGAAGCCTGTAGGAAAAGAGAGAAAACAGAGAGTATCGAATATAGAGTCAAATAGGTAAAACTGAAGCTTGAAAGATGTGGTTGACTCTCTTGGTACCAGCTATCTGGATAAATTCTACATTTTGCTTTTTGTTCTTGTTTATTCTTAAGGTGGTTGGAATTGAATTTTCTATTACATGTGACAATAAAAGGCTCAACATACATGTAGCTCAACTTATAAAACTTGAAATGACTTGTCCAGTGATACTTGCTGGAAAATATGGCAGTATTGTTCCAAGTCCAATTTATGCCAAGGCCTGGGACCCATAAATATGACCACAGTCCAGTCATACAGAGTGACAGTTCTCTCTGCTATGTATTTGTTTACATTATAGGACTGGTGTCTACACAGTCTTTTCTTTTAAGTGTCGAAATATTGTATTGCTCCCTATTTCTCTCTTAAGTTCTCTTAACATTTGCTTTGTATATTGAAGTGCTCCATTAATGGGTGCATATATATTCACAATTGTTATACACTCTTGAGATGATCTGATCCCCTTATCATTACATAATGAATTTCTTTGTCTCTTGTGACAGTTTTTTACTTAAAGTCTACTCTGTCTCATATAAATATAGCATTTAGTGCTCTCTTTTAGTTAGCACGTGAATGGAATATATTTTTCCATTCCTTCACTTTCAGCTTCTGTAGACCCTTAAAGCTATAGTGAGTCTCCCATATGGAATATATAGTTACATATTGTCTTTTCATTCATTTTAGTCACTCTATATCTTCTGGTTAGAAAATGCAATCAATTTACATTTAAATAAT